CGGCGGGACGGCCAGGCCGTAACCCTCGTTTTTTCCCTTGCTTTAAACGAGAAGCTTGAGGAGCCGCAGAAGAGGCAGCGTGCGCGTGCCCCGTTCGCAGCGCAGGACTAACGCCGAGGCACTTCAGCGCAAACGGATGAGAGCGGACACTGCCTTGCTGCGCTGTAGGGCTGTACCAAGACCAGTGGTACAGAAACCATTACACAGGTATGTTCATCAACAGAGAGGAGCTGCTGGATTACAATAAGATGCAGATGAAAAACATTTATAAGGCAGCATCTGGAAAAAAATCCCACATTCAGTGGTCACAAAGACGTGCAGCACTTAAAAAAGTCCATATAGAACAAAATCTGTCGGTATGCACATTTAAATACATCTTGTTCACAACAGATGCTATTTTTGACATGTCTTCCTGCTGCTAGGGATTCGTTACATACTGTCTGAAAGCCCCTGTCAGGTACACTTCATAAAACCAGTTGCAGCAGCAAAGGGTCTATTTTTGGTAGAACCTAAAGTCCAGTTTCATCTACGGTATGTTTTGTAGAAGTATTTCATGTGTATACAATAGTTCAGGGGCCCTGTTGGCATAGGTGTTTAGTTCAGTGGCTTTCACACAGTGATGAATGCACTCCCTGTTTTTACTTGGAGCTGGGTTGCTCAGCCCTGAAGATAAGAACATACCTACTCTTCTTAGTTTATTTTAAATTTCAGAAATACGTTTGGTATGTTGGTGCTTTACAAAATTTGCTATTAGGACTACAGAAAGTAGTTTGTTTATATAAACTGACGAATGTGATGTTACTCTTAACAGCTTTAAGATTGTATATATTCACTAGCAGTAGTTACATACACACATAGTAAACCACTAAGACTTTTGACTCCAGTTGTATAGGAAAGCAACTTTGTCTAAGCAATCAATATTAAGTATCATAAGTTGGAAGAGACAACAGGATGATTGGAGGACTGAGAAGGTAAGACAGTTAAACTTCATGCTGTATCTTACTGGTTATAGCCTCCAAGATTGTAATAGTGCAATGGCAACTCATGTTCCCCTCCCAATATGAGGGAAAGCAGTACTGCATTTGCACATAAGGCTTGGACACCATTGGTGGCTTTCACCTAACTCATTTGTACTGAAAACTTTCTAAGAGGTCACTAAGGTAGGGGATGAAAAGACCTGTTTATTGAGTAGGAAGACTTGTATTGAGCTAAAGGCACACAATTGCTTGATGAGGATTAGTCAGACCTTATTTTCAGTTGTTTGTTAACATGCTGTGTGTATTAATGGCACCACTTTTTCCACTTTCCTAGGCAGCATGAAGAGTTAATGGGATTTGTCACACCAACGCTAAACTGAGACTAAGCTTTAACCCTTTATATGGAACTGTTTGTTGAAAGAGGAAGCTGCAGTACTGAAAGCAAGTCAGTGCTTGACTACATGAGACCATGCCTCTCATAGAAGGCAAATAATGTCTTCAAAAACGTTATGAAAGGGAAATTCAGTTAAATCCTTTCAAGTTTCTTCTTTGCACAGCAACAGTAAACTAGTGATTGACTTTTCCTAGAGCTGTTACTTTAATAACAGGGAGAGGGAAAGCTACAGTTCCTACAAAAGTATACACAAGATGTCTTGCTCTCCCCTCAGATTAGGATTTGTAGTTTAATTTAGTGAAGACCACAGAGATCAACTTTAAAAGAAAAAAGGCAAAAACTTCTTTTAGCATACAGGGCTTTTTTTGCCCCTAGTAGCAGAATTGCCTTTTTAGATATGTGAACTAAAACTTAACGTAGATGTTTCATACAGAACCATTTTTTTTTCACAGCTAGAAATAGATAGACTCTGAAAACATGAAGTCATCAATATAAAGGAACGCAACAGCAAAGTAAGCCAATAATTCCTAACTATCACTAAAATGGTAAAAAAAAAAAAAGGCAAACAGTGAACGGATTCAAATTCGGCAATACTGCTCCAGGCATTCAGAGTGCTTATAACTATCTTCAACTCCCTGCTGCTGAAGTAGGATGTGCTTCAGGTTGTTAAAAACAACTTTTTTGCTTTAATGAATTAAGTAATATAGATTGAGTATTTTGTTTTATATTGTATGCATCTGAAGATACTTCAAGATGGCTAGCATGGCTAGCAACCTGTCCTGGTTTTACTCAACAGTGCTTGACAGTTGCTTGCATGATCCAATAGGATGGTGAGACTACCAAGTTTCCCTTGGACAAATACCAGAACCTTAACTTGACTAAAACAGGATTAAGTTCTTCTTGTTTTAGAAAAGCACTCCTATCCAGCATATGCACAAGATAGTATGGAGAAGCATAGTGCTTAAATCGACAATGATTTATTGTGTTTAGGAACATTCAATAAATACCAAGCTTTTAGCTTCAGTTTGGCAATCCTTTCCCAGAAAAAACTGGTTACTTGGGTTTTTTCTGGCACAAACTCCATTGCCAGCAATGGCTGTATCAGAACAAGAAGTTAATAAATAATACACACAGACAGCAGTTTTCTAAACATACCTCCTCTTTTAAAGGCATGATACAGATTTACTAAACAAATCTCAAGTTCTTCACAGAAGAAAATTTTGCTACAAGGCAGTCTCTGAACATTGTTTTCTTCACCAATGCTGGTAGTTTATTTCACGGAGTACAATATTTTTGAACAGTACTGGTGAATCATTTAAAACCAAGTGGCTTTTCCCTCTCAGGTAAGCTGAGACATGTGACTAGTACTGAAGTGTATGAATTTAAGAGTGGTGTACCTCTTGCTGAGCATTTAATGGCAATCATGAATAACATAAAAGAGATGAAAAGGCAATATTATACTCTGTTAGTAGGCATTTTCTTTTTCTTACTTGTTTCAGCTTGCTTTTAAACCACTGTTCAAACAATTAAAGGTATCATATTGATATTTAACAGATGTTTTGTTTGTATTTCCGTGAAGAATTGTGTTAAAAACACAACTGAAGAAATGTCCTGCTTATGATGAGAATCACTTTCAAGTACTTAAATGTGAGTATCCCTCAAAAATCCACTCATTTCTTACTAAAAAATGTGTTTTTGGAAAAGCATGAAGACTACAGAAAACCAATTAACATAATAGGGTTAATCTTGTATAATTTTTTCCACAACTGTATTTTACATATCACCAAACTCCTGCTTTAGCAAAGGAAAAAAGAATAAAAATAAATTCTCTCCCAACTATTTACACACAGGAATTACCCTGCTACGGTACCAGATACTTTACTCTGCAGTCCCTTTAACCCAAGGCGTAACCTTAGGTGTGTCCTTCTGTGATGTAGATTCTTGGAAGTTTTCAGCAAACCTTTCTCTTGCTTTATCCCAGTTCTTTTTATTCTTGCTTTGGATGATCTGAACATCTTCAATGGAGGCTGGTCTACTGGTACCCAAACCTGTGTGCATCTTATGTAACTGAAGGTGGATCTGTCAAATACATGAAATATTGTTGTAACCACAAGTTAGGTATTCTAAATACTTTAAATCATATTTTATAATACTAATTCTCCCCTCCCCCCCACCCCAAGTACTTCTCTTTAAGGCTCTACTATACCTAGATCACACATGGACATCTAAAGGACTGTTAAAATGATGCATCAAATCACCACCTCTACTATGATCTAGAGTGCTGAATTGACGTCACCTGCCACTAACATTACTGTGAAGTACTCCTCACCAAGTGAATAGGTGCTGTGCTGCGTAGTTTGACAACAAAAAGTATGATGTGGCTCTCAGCAGCACTACCGCCAAAAGAAAATGCATCTCTGGTGACAAAAATGGGGCTAAGAGAGGTGCCACAGAGGCCCAGAACTTGGTAGCTACAGTGACTTCAACCATCTTTTCCTCTCTCATGACCTGTCATGTAGCATGATTTTTGTGCTAGATCAGAGAAAGTGAAGGGTTCCACCACAAGCCCATCTTGAATTCACATCACTTAAAATTACTTCAATCTTACTGCAGACTTTGCATTCAAAGATGAGAGTATTAATTCAATGGCTGGAAGCTGTCTGTCCTTCGTTGCTTAGTTTCATAACACAGACACTACTGGCATCTTCCACTGAAGGGATAAAATGATTGGGAAAAAAAGTCTCAAAATAGTTCATTAATCAAGTAAAAAATGATTTGAGATTAGTCCTACTGAGATTATTCCTTCCTAACTAAGATTTTGAAATGTTTCAACCGAACAGTGGCTTACAGTTAGACATTTTTCACTGCAAATACACTATAATTTTTATTCCAAGTAAAATCAGAGGCACCTACTGGATCCTTCATACCACTGCCATCCTTGCCCAGTCCTTCCCCTTTCTTCCATCCCATCTTCTCCAACATTTTATGTCCTTTGTTGCTGTTGCTGATTTCACTTTGAAGAAAGTTAAAGATAACTGAAGTAGGAGTTAATAGAAAGAGTATGCTCTCTACTCAAATACTGAAGGACAGAAATAGGCATGCACATGCTGCTCTAGACACCAGGACTCAACTACCATGCTTTTCCTAGTCCCATCAAGAGCTGTACAGAAGACTTTAGTGCCACCTTTTTGCAAGTTCTTCCATGAATATCTTCAGTTACCAAAGCTATTTCAAGCCCCTGGGGTCAATACCAACTTTCTTAAAACTCCTTCTGAACTACTTGCTTGCTTTGGGAGTTAAAAGATACAGCATGGGTGGGTGGGAATTGACTGCACTAGGGAAAAGGCAGTATCATTACCGGACCACCAAATCATCCTAACGCACACATTTCATTGACTCATACCTCTGTTTATTAACTTACAAGCACCTACAAGTTCATGTTTCTTAAAAAAAAGCAACTACAGAAGCAAACAAATAATAAAAGACAAAGATTAAAGTAAGTGTCATTTAAGAGGTGTGTAAACGCATGTCCTATGATAGGCTGGTTATTGACAATGAAAGAAACTGCAAGTGAAAAATTTGCATCCATACTATTACTGGGACTGAATAAGAAAAACAGAAATTGAGACACTTGAAAAACAGACACTATTGGAGGTGTCAATACTGGGGAGTTCCTTGATTTTTTGAGTTGGTAAGAAGGTGATCTAAGCATCCTCACTGCCAAGTTGAACTCTGTATGGAAAGTGAGGACTTAATAAAAAGAGCATATGAACTGGGAAGTGAGAATACCGTACTATTTTCTAGCTCTCCTAACATATTATGTACAGATAATTCATAATCTAACAAACTGTATCCTATTAACTAATTGATACTTACTTAAGATTCACTAGAGAAGGACACAGAAGATTGCACTCCACTCCCTCCCCCCCACAAACTTACATATGAACAGAAGCTGGGCTGTCATCTCTGTGAAAGGTTCCTTCACTTCCAATGGTCTCTCTGCGTTTTCCTGCTCTATCTTTGTACTTTGGATTCTTCACTGCTTTGTTGTCTTCATACTCTGTGTTCTTTGTAAATAAATACCATCAAGGCAAAGAAAGCAGGCTTTAAATTGTTTATTTTTGATAACCCAACTGTCTCCCTCCAAAAGTAAGGCAGCTTCAGCCTTTATCATTAATTCTAAATCTTGAAACAAAAAAACTGTATCTGTCATTTACTAGTTTCTTATGTTACAGCCATACCTGGTAAGGTATGTTATTGCCATAATGACATAATAATGTAATATTGCCAAATTCATTAATTTCACAGAAACTGTAAATAAGTTATCAGATTCTCTGGAATCTTCTCTTGGTATGAAGAATCAGTCTCTCCACATTATGCAGAAAACGATACAGACATGCCACTGGCTTTTTTTTTAAACATTTAGTCTGTTCCTCAGCAACTGTTTCTTCAGATGACAGAACAAGGCATGTATACAAATTCTTTATTGATACTATTTTTGTAGCTGAAGAATTTGAGAGAAACAATGGCATTCTGTTTTCTACAGGAATACATACTGTAAGTACTCGATGTAACCCCATAGTTAAAATAATCTATAAAACAGAAGTAACTTGGATACTTATATAGTGTATTGTCTGCACATTCATGTTGGTATTCTTCTATGGCAAAGCGGACTTAAACTAAAAACTTCCAAGAGGAAGAGGGAAGAGGGAAATTTAAGTTGCTCATTATTCTTCCTTTCCAAATAAAGGACAGCACTGCAATTTAGTGCAAACTTAATTTGCAGAAATAAAAATGGAAATGTCTCAAGAAATCTTAACCTCAAAAGGATGAGGAAACTTGCACACATTAGAACGCATCTTCTTTTCCTAAAATTTTAACAGAACTTTCATGCCCTGTTAGCATCGTCTCTGTAGAGGTTTGTAAATAACTATTATTTAGCATACAAAAGACAAGCTTGAGTTAAACTACCAGGCTCAAGTTTCAGTGCATTTGAAAACTTTCCTTATTCACTGAAGTCCCTGGCTTGAAATAGGAATCGCAAAAGTAGATACAGACTTCAAACACTTAATCAACTTCTACTGTAAACTCACCTGTAAACCATATTTTACCCGTATTTGTCTTAATGCTTTTCTTCTGACTAACTCTCTCTCTTCTTTGCTAAGTGCTGGGCAAACTAAAAGGAAGAACACAGGATTGAATTTCTAATTACTATTGTAACAATCTTTTGAAACATAAGACAACGTGTCAGAAATTTCGTTCTAACATTATTACACATACACACATACCAAGAAGAAAATACATCATCATGTATTGTAGAACTAGTTCCAGTTAACAAGAATATTGTAAGAAAATTGAAGTAATTATTATGTTTATAAACTAAAGAGCTATAATAAAAAAACATATCCCATGATAACATGGCTAACCAGAAGATTCCTTTTTCCTGTCCAGGCGAAGATGAGCTCTGACTTGTCCTGGTTCACATCCATCGCAAGTATCACTGCCAGGATGTATATGAAAAGAAAGCACAGTTTCACCAATCTTCACTTCATCTCCATGCTCCAAGATGTAGGGATCGCATTTTGTTTTAGGCTACAGCAAAAGAAAGTTTTGGCAGCCATGTTAATCAGTTGCTAATAAAGGGAAAGAACTCTATTTCATGAATACTGCTCGTAATTTAGTAACTCAGTGTGGTCTCACAAATGCAGGCAAGTATTTAACTACATTGGGTACTCCACGCTAGCAACTGCAACCGTAGTGGATTTTTCCTAATATAAACCAAACATAAAGTATTGTACGGGGCCATAAAAACAGAAGGGAACTAAAGAAGAGACTATTACATGAAAAGAAGCCATACAATAATGTTGTTCGTGATTTGCCATAACATACTTAAAATGACCACATGACTACAGTTTTCTGCAACATCCACAGTATTATAACATCAGGTACTCACCTGGAGAATTTGATTTCCATTAACAACTGTTCCATTCTGACTGCCTTGATCCACAAGAACATAATTCTGCAAATCGTGGTCAAAATATACTTCTGCATGGAACTGATAAATAGAAGCCTAAGTAAAATGTTCTTAAACAAATACTTCACAATTTATATGCTATTTTAAAGTAAGATTTCAGAATATATTTTGGGCCCTTTTAACTGAGTGGCTTTGGTACTCTAAGTTAATAGAGTATTCCACACCGTATGATTTCATCTCTCTGAAATGTAAATGAAAGGGCCACGACAGCATAAGCCAAAGTATACTATTAATAACATAACTATTTTGACCATAAACTGATTCAGTACTGAAGAAGTATATACTTCCAGTGTGGCAAGCATACTTTACTTAAACGATGCCAAGATACAGTAATGCAGCTTTTTTTTAACTGTTCTTATAAATAAAGGGCTTTTTTCTTCTAAGGTATGTATTAGCACTCTCAATTTTTCTGTTTCAATTAAAAAAAGCGATCTCATTCTATAGCTTCAGGTTACTTGGTCTTTGATCTCTGAAATAGCTCCGTAAATGCCATGCTTTTGTAACTTTCACGTTAATTCACCTTCACCTGCATCTTAATGCCCTGAACACAATGACTAGCCATCATTTGCTGTTCCTTTTATCTCTTTTCTGATAGTGAGACTAACAATCTAATTTGGTTTTGGTTTTGTTGTTGCAATTCTGTACATGTATTGCTCCCAAGCCCACACAGAACAGAGAAAACTCAACTCCTGCAAAACTCAAACATATACACTACCTCCGAAAGTGGCCACTGAGCAAACCAAAATACCAACTTCTGCAGCCTACTAAGACTCCCAGTAAAAAACAGACATCTAAAAAAGTGACAGTTTCAAATTTGACAAGCAAAGATCACTTTTGCTATCGTCAAGAAAAAAAGCCAAGAGTCAATCTGGGAACAAAGGGTTAATTTAAGTTGCTGCATTCAGTAATAAAAAAAAAATCAAAATACTATTTTGTAGATTGGCTAGCATTTACAACTGGAATACTCCCCATGTGTGGGAAGACTACCATTGTGGAAAGACTGACTAGCTCATTCAATAGATAATTTAATTTCTACTTCTGTTTTATTGAATAGGATGAACCCAAACTTCTTGTAAAGATGCTAAATCTGCAGGGTGTAGCATTGTTTTTTTAAATCTCACTTTACACTCAAGAAAGACAATTGCCAAAGTGGTCCACAGCTATCAACCATGAACAGTGAGGAAAACAAACTGATAGTTAACTTTTGTTTCTACAGGTATGTCATTTGTCTTTCTGCCTTTGACTCCTTATCTGCAAAGTGAAATAACTTCTTATATAAACAGCCTTGTACCCATGAAGTACTAAAATGGTAATGTTACAGAAAAGTGAAAGCCTTTTGGCTTCTTTATGCACCCAATTTCACATACATGCCTGAAAAAGTCATTAATAGTGGGGAAGGATTTGCTCTGGAGATTAAGTATGAAAAACGATACATGGCTCATTAATCAGAACTATCATCTGGAATAGACACAGTAAAGCATATTTCAGATACTTGCATTTGCAGATATTTTTCTCAAATTTTTTTTTCCTGTTTTGATGACATGTCTTTGTGAATTTATGTTTTCTTTTATTAAGAGTCCTGTATGGTCTGTGTTAAAATAGTTAGCAAAACACAGCACATAATTTATCTTTAATCTTTCTTAACCAGAAGAAAAATTTTTCATTACTACCTGTTACTGAAAGAAATTGTTAAATTTTCAAACTCCTTGTAAATCACTTACATATTTTTACAGTTCCCTTGAAGAAAATTAAAACCTGTTGGCTCTGAGCTCAAGTGCAAGTACTGTATTACTTTGTAACAAAGTAAGCTGATATTGCTATCTTATATACCATTAATTCTTAACAGAGTAGTATGTTTTCCTTAAGTTCAAGAACTAAGAAATTAAAGACCCAAAGTATAATTTTTTTATTGTGCATGACGCTGTGGATTAGTAAAACTCCAATTTAAAAAAAATATTTAGTGATTCTAGACTTTGAAATCACACTGCTGTTGGTGTTAAATTCCCTTTCAGTAAAATATTGTGCTTTCCTTTTTCTAACTGCAAATGTGGCTAAACCCACATGTCATTCTACAAGTCCTTTTAAAAAAAAATAACATTTAGTAAGATTTTACAAAATTTAAAACCATAAAATCTAAAGTTTCATTCATACGCTTATCTGCCTTTCAGCAGAGGGAAGCAAGAGTTACCTTACTGACTCCAACTTCAGGAATCTGAAGTGTGTGTCCAACATCTTTTTCTCTGGAAAGGCAAGTTGATACATAAATCATGACAAAGTAGAAATAAGTAAGTGGCTTACAAAAGGTATATTTCACTTGAACCCTAATACCATGTTTCTGTTCTGAGCTATTAGGGAGCTTTACAGATGTAAAGCACTGCTTCATGTCCCTTCTTCCATCTATAAACTATACACAGTAGGCAGCAAATATATGATAAAGCTGTATTTCCAAATTTTTATCTATAAGCTGACATTTCTATCTGAACTTTTATCTATCTGAATTCATACAAGGCTTGTAAGCAATAGTCTGAGCTCTGCATCCTTCAAGCTCTTCAGTGAATCTTAGCATCAGTCTTCAATGGTGATGCTGAATTCTTGGTAGCGTTAGGCAGGTAATACAAGCAATGAAAGAATGATCTGGTTTGGTTTTTTTTGGTTAAAAACTGTGCAGTAGTAGGAAGGGATTTATGTATTACTTTCTTATACTAGGGGATGAAGAAGCAATGCAGCTAGCAAAGGACCTATATGAAAATTACAAGCAGAATTGTCATCTGTGAATCTTCACATAAATGTGCCTAGAGAATTCCAGCTGTAAGAGCAAATCAAAACACATCCATCAGCATTAGATAAAAGCAGATGAAAAGCATGTTTTTCAGTAAGCATGGAAGAAAGCATTAATTCATCATTAAATTCATCATCCACAATGAATAAGCCATATTTATTTTTTTTAATATTAGAACTGGAAGAATGCATACAGGCTAGCACAAAACCCAATTTATTATTTAAAAATGAGGAACCAACCCTACTGGAATTTGAATGTGTGAGGAAGTCCAGGATATGCTTCCTTGTGATCCTGAATTTCTGAAATATTCTTCCATTTCTGAAAAAGTTACCTTAGTGGCTCAGGAAAGAAGTTTACCTACTTTCTAGAAAACTAGTTTTCAAAGAATGACTTGCAGCTATGCTGCCATTAGGACTTAGACAGAAGATCAAACTGTCACTAACAAATTTTCATAGCTGCATGTGCTGTATCACAGCAAGCATGATGTTATGTGACATGAAAAATTTCTTACTGTGGGTCAACCTAACTCAGAGCACCTCACAACTGCTGCATGCTAAGAAGGACAAAGAGGAGGAGCAGCGACAAGCAGTGCCACAGCTTTCAGAGCTAGCTACAGTTTCAGATATATACAATAAATTCCGTTCAGTTTTACCTTCCAATTGTGGCAGGTTTCACAGCTGTGATAATATAAAGTGATCCGGTCTGTAGAACTGGTGATCTTATTACAATCACTCTGATACAAGGAGGCCAGATTTTTTCTTCATGTACAACTATTAAAAAAAAAAAATACTGTTACTATCAACAAATTAGTTTTAACCCTACAGTCCATAGCTTTCAAACAATTGATACACATTCAGCCATTATCTGGCTGAATCCTATGCAACTTTCAGCAAAAGAAATGTATAAGCACATCTGAGAGAAAACTTTGACGAGACTACTGTTTCAAAGGCTTTCTGACTGCACACTAAAGCACTAAAAATGTTTTCCTAATTCTGGTGCACAACTGTTTAGTTACAGCAATAAAATACAAACACATTCACAGAATTTACTAGCATATTACAAATTTATGGACCACTAGTCATAACAGATTAGAATACAATTCTACTTTGAGAAACGGCAGCACCTTTTTGTTCACCACATCACAAACCTAATGCATGTAGAACTTTGATACCTTCTATGTCAAAAGTATTTGTACTAGATTTTACTCTTATTAGCACTATGCACTAATAAGACAAGAAAAAGTAACAGATGAGCCTACAGATGCTTATGCTTTGTCTAAAGCTGTATGAATTCTGTTCTTGGATTTCAATTTGCAGAAACAGTCTCCAATGATCTCAGCTAGGAATACACACGGTAAGATGGGAAGGCACTAGCTCAAAAGGTACTAGGAGAGAAACTGTCTCTGCTTTTTAGGACTCCAGCATTACTGCAGAATTGATTATTACAAAATACTAAGAGAAGAAAAATTTAATCTGAAAGCCTGATGGTAGCAAGCACATTTTGAATGGCATGAATCACTCAGGATCTAGAGAAGTTCAGTAAGTAAAGTAATGAAAACAGAAGAAACAAACTGACTGACTAACTGCGAGCAGGGCACAGGCTGCAGTACAGACTTCTATAGGTTGTATTTCATTCTAGGATGTGGAATATCCTTTGCATATACACAGTTCCAATTAGTTCCATTAAGCTTTTCCCAGACTATGTTTTTTTTTGTTGTTGTTGCAAGAGACCATTCAATTCTTGGGGAGGTCTTAAGGACCTAGGAGAACACTTTCTTTGGTATAAAACAGCATACAGATTTCCTCTCTATACCCATTTCTTACATGTTACCACTGGAATACATAGAAAATAGGATTTCAAATAATACTGAGTACTCCACATTCATCCTTTTTACCACAGTGGATTTATCTTACATTGAATTATACATGATTGTTTATGATCAGAAATATTATACATTAATTGAAGAGTCAGTACACAGAACTATTGTGAGGTCTGTACTACAATATTTATTTTAGCAATATACTTTCTTTTCTCCTGTCACTATCATAATCTAAACAAATCTTATTCTACCACAGAGAGTTCTAGACAAGCACAGGAAGTTAACACCCCTGAACAGCTTTTACAAAAACACCACTACTTCTGGCTACTGTGCAAGTAAAGAGAAGAAACAAATACTGGTAACAGATACTCAAAGTATCTCAGGTCACATGCTTTTATTTATTTAATTTCCAAACTGTTTACTCATAGTTTGTTCTTAACGGGCTCCTGGAAAAATACAGTAATCTACATAAAAGCCACAATAATTCACCTTCATTTTCTGAGTCTTCTGAATCAACAGTTTCTTCACTTGTTACTTCATCCTCACTGCTGTAGGCTTCACACTCAGAATCTGTAATTTCACCTTCTTCTGGCTCACTCTCTGTGTCCGCTGTTCTACTGTCATCTGTATATGCTGCAGTATCTGGTGTACTTTTGCGTGAATGTGAATTTATACTGTCTGTAGAAATTGATTCTTTGGCTGTTAGACTGTTTCGTGGTTTTGTATCCATTTTAGTCTTCTTTCTTACATTTGGAGACTCTTCTTCTTCAGCAGAACTTACTTGCTCAGTAGTGGAAAAGCAATTCAGACTGTTGGATGATTTCTGCTCTTCTATGTCCAAATCCTGGAGGGGAGTTACAGAATGTTACATTCTTTACAGACTGAATTATTCTAAAGTCTGCTATCAGCCTGAAAGTAAATTCTTCACTAAGAAGAATTATTTTACCACTGTTAAGAAATGGTTAGATTTCCAGAAAGTTTTGTGCATGCAGTCAACAGAACATCTCAGCAGAAACATTTTCACATCCTATTAGATATGACTGAAATCATTCTCCACTTGGGAAAGTGTGACTGCACTCCTCTTCTAAACTTCACTTATTCCAGACTCTTTTCTCACACAAAACTTAAAATCCTTGTCCTCACTTTCAAACTTGTACAACAGCATCTTGAATATTTTCCAGTTTTGCTTTTATGATACTTACTTGTGTCCCTCTCAAACAAGTTGCAAGAATTGAGTAAGTTCTTTAATTCATCTTCATCACATCTTCCTCCTATTTTTCTCTTCTCATTTTTTTCCACAATGGTCCAGAATATCTGGAATGCCCACCCATGCTCACCTAATGAGTAAGCACCACCCCTGCTCTTTCTCCTTTCAAAATTGCAACTTTAACAAAACTTTTCATCAAGATACTGTAGAGAACTTAAGTTTAATTTATGCTACGTGGAACAGTTCTACTGAGAATCCATTTTCTACTGCAAAAAATTTCTCCATTGAACACCAGACAGATTAGATCACTGCAGGTTCTTCCATTGCCACTTGATTTCATCAGCAGAAAAGAGACCTTCAACATTTTTTTTACCCGAGAAATCGAAAGTTTCATATTAATTTTGCCAAAATGTAATTATCAATCTAGTAGCCCTGATGACCATCTTAAAAAAAAAAAAGAACCAACACAAATGATTTGAAGACATTAAAAAAAAATCTCAGATGTTAAGTTATTTGCCATCTTGGATTTAGAATGAATGCATTCAATTGCCCTGAATTGCACCCAGTATTGCCACACAGCAGTTAATACAAAAAACATCCTTGACTTTTTTCAGTAATTTTTCATATAAAGCATTTTACATTCCAAGGTACATGAATCAACATGAATGTTAACACCATGGAAATTAAAAGCATTTTCACTTTTCGGAACTGTAGTAACTCATCAGTGGCACAACTGTAAGACAAACACAAGAATTCCTCTCGGCCCAGTAGTCAAGCTTTCAATAAGACAGCAGGTTCTCAGGAATAATCAGCAAATTTTAAGACTTCATGCTTTAACTGAAGGACTATCTGTTTGTTTAAGGTTTCTCTATAATGCCTTAGCCTTCCTCCCTGAATCCTCAAAGTATTGGAACTAGGAAGGAACAGGGTCACAAGGCCACTGCCTAATGTTATTCATTTAAAATAAAAGATGCAGTAATCCTGCCAAAAGTAAGAATACACAGTTCCTACATGTCAGACATTAATTCCATTGGAAACCTTTTGGCAAATTTGATTATCACTTCTATGAATGATAAAGTATGGATATTAGATTGATACCCATCATACCAAGGTGCTCTGCAATCCTTAATGTATTTCTTCCCACCATACTGTGAGCTACCAAAGTGTCACTAATCTAATCTGAAAACAGAGAAACTAAATTGTCTGCTCAAATCACAAGTGAGTCAAAGCAACAGATGACTTATGTCTGATGCCCAAGTATAATGCTCCAACTGCTCAGCTCTTTCTCCACCATGAATCTAGTGATATTTGTTTTTGGCATCACTTCAGATATTCTAAATTAGAAAATAAAAAGGTGCTGTTTCAAAGCCTGGCTACTAAGGAGTAAACCCTCTGTTCTGGGTTGAAAACAGGAATTAAAAATAACATTCTTACAGACCAACCAAGGATTCTGTACATACATTCTGCCAATAAGACCATTAAGCCTGATCTCAGCAGTGCATGTATTTTTTACACTATTACTACAATCAACTGTTAAGAATAATAAAATAAATAATTCTAATAATAATATTATAATTTTAATAATAGTAATAGAATAAACTAAATAGTTCTGTTAAGTATGGATAAACATGTACTGTTTGCATTTAGAAATCCTTGTAAAAAATGATGATTTTAAAGTTGCATTCCTAAAGAATATGGATTTTGAGCCCTTTATGATTTCACAGATCTATATTAAAATGCACATCTTGATGGTGTGTAAACATTAAGTCTAGGGATGCTGAATGTATTCTTAAAGCATTTGAGAGGGTCTTTACTTGTGCTGAAGAAATCCTTTTCCACTATATATGACTACTAGCACTAACACAGAACACATGTAGCATGCATGAAAGTGTAACTATGCAAATAGCACCTAATAGCTTGCCTCCATGTAGCCACTGCTTAAAAAACAAGAACCATCATGAACAGAATATTCAGTAAATATCATCGTGAATGACCTAACACACACCAGCAATGCACTTCATTTCTCAGTGGCAGGATATTTAACTCTTCATCCCAAACTCACAATACAACACACAAAGTATGCAAGTACGTGCTCAGTATAACCATGTTTGTTACAGCATGATACTAGGCACATACATTACTTTCTATGTTGCTTTGCCTAATGTATCTAAATAGTCAGGAGATCCACCCCAATGGTCATACGTTGCATATGGATTGCCTCTACGTCATCTATGTGATTCAGGTTTGAAAAACTTTCTATGTACTGGATGTCACCACATGATCACTGGCTTTTCTCTCTCTAAACATGAGTGAACTTGAGAGGTGGGATGAATCTATCCCTAATGAACTATTTCTTAACTACAGGGTTGAGCCAGTTCATATTTCTGCATCCCTGACAAAGATAGCCAAAGGTGTAAGTGAAGTCAGGATTTTTATGTATCCCATGAGGGGTGATCTTGTAAGAATTACAAATCATGTTTGTGTGACTTGAACGGATGGTGTTGCTTTATAACGAATAGGCAAACATTACAGTTACCTTGTATGATTACAATGACCTTCTGAAGTGCACACTGGCCTATTTAGAATATATACTGGAATGAGCATAGTAATTTAAGCATTTTTAATGAAAAATTCAAAATATTCTAAGCATTTAACTATATTTTTTGCTTTACTGTGACAGTTTGTCTTTCAAAACCTCACATTTTTCTGTATTATGCCTGATTAACATACATGTTCATGAATTCTTCAGCATGCCTAAAAATTAGAACTTAGTTATTGTGAGCATAATTAGCTTAATTCTAAGAAATGCGCTGTTTAAACTGTATTATTTCCTAAACCATTTTATACAAAACATACAAATATGTACAAACACAACTTCTCAGAAATGTGTAGCCTGTTGCTTCTTGGTTTGCTAGAAGTTCAGCAGATGATTTAGCAGAATCATGGGTACTCAATGCCCTCATCGAGAGGGCTGAATGTTAGATCTTTAGCACCAGCTCTCTCCTTTTGAAATATTAAACTGAAATTCAGTATTTTACTAAAGAAACATTTTTAAACAGTTTAAAATAGCTCTTTCAGATGACTAAGCTTTCACTTGCTAGCACCATTTCAGAAGTACTTCAGTTACTGTCTTCTACCCTAAACAATACTTGAATTTCCAATGCAAAAAATCTAATTAAAAGCCAGAAAAAGAGTAAAGCTCTTACTGAATCATAAAGACACCATTTTATGCACTGGTAGACAGCTCTGAAATACAAGAAACAAAAGTTGCCTTACCTAAAGAATGTGTAGTTTGTTTAGTCAGGACATCAGGCTACCCTATATTAATACAGTGATGCTAAATATTTCTTTTCCCAAGTATTCTAGAATGCCATCAAAGTTTTCTTCAGATGTTTTACTTATACATTGTTTCAAGTGTATTCAAAGTTACTTTGTAGATTAACTGATTTTGATCAAATAGCTTAAAAAATTTATTAGTTTCTTTAGGAAAATAGGTAGCTAAACATCAACTACTAGATACTATTCTTCCTTTAATAAAAATAACAAGGTTAAAGGTAAAAATCCATGGGCTAATGTGTTTGGTGTCTCAACTCTACCTTCACCAGAAGTTGCCAATCCAAAAGAAGAAATCTTCAGATTAGCCATGGTTTCTGTCAACTGACGTACCTAAAGATGGGATGAATATCAGCAAAAAGTAAACTACATGTGATTTAACAAAAAAAAAAAAAAAAAAATCACTGCTTCAAGAGTTCTATGGGAAGTACTACTACAAAAGCCTTTGACTCCTACAGAAGTAGCTAGGATGCATCTATAATGGAGAAGAGTATGGCAGAAGTTAATTTTGAGCACCATGCTGAAATAAATTTCATTAGGCAGTAGTTTAAGAATAAACTGTAAAAATAATTTCTGGGAGAAAAATGGCATGTCAGACCCTGCATATAAATTTTGCTACTCATTTCTAACGGCCCCAATCCAGCAAGTAGAACTACGTGATCAGTATTGCACACAGCCTATTCTCCAATCTGTATGGAAGCACTGGATCTAGATATTGGGCCAGGGATCACATTATCATTTATGCCACTTTGTAATTTGTTGATTTTTTTAATTAAAAACACCCACCCCACCCTTTTCCAAATTTACTTAAGCTTTTTCTTTTACAGGAGATAATTATGGTATTTCTTGCTGCACTTTTTTTTTTGGCCTACCACTACAAAAAGGTATCAGAACTTGACTACATATGGAACTATAAAGTTCCAAAGTATTCCACCCATCCTCTTTATGCAAGCTGCACAGAGCCTATCTAGTACTTCATCCTAGCAAATAAAATTCCTGATTGTCTATTAAAAGCAAGCATGTGGACAGCATGCTTAGTTTCACAAGTCAAAAGAAAACTATTTGTAATGCAGAAGTTTGGTGACTGAAAAGAATCTCCTTGAAGAATGTTCTTGTATAAATCAGGAACATTCTTTAGGAGATACTAAGTATATGAGTTCCCCTCCACTGCTTTGTGCAATTAAAAGTACATTTGTTTTAGCAGACACTCACTAGCATTTTTCTTGTTTGGTAATTCAGCTTGCTAAAACTACAATATTTTAACAGGTTAATTTCATTCTGTAGATTCTCAGGTTTATATTGCTTTTTCAAAAACCTTGCAATATCTCTGGAGAACACACTTGCCTTTTCTGTAGTGTTAAGCATCCCAACTTATTACTTATAGATACTATACGTAATATAGTAGCTGAGATATCTGAGCACATCAAATTCTTCACAATACCTACAAACTAAACGGCAGCTAAAAAGCCCTCCTGTGACCGGAAATAGAAAGTTAACAGATTCTCCCAGTTACAATCTTTTTTAGATTAAGAGAGATTAACTTTGGTCTAAATAGAATAAGTCATTAAAAAAAAAAATCAAACGCAATTTCTGCAAAAACTATATAGCTAACGGTACCATCTATCTACGTAGAAATATTTGCTGTGATAATCTACACATGCAGCTGCTGAATTCCTTTCTTTTGTTTGACAACTTTTAAGTAGTACTAAATACGACATCGTTACATGTAATCCTTTAGCCAAAAAAGAGAGAAAACAAGTTTAACAAGTGTTTCATGTACTTGAGGTTCTCTAACTACTGCTTGCCGTCTTCCCCTGTGTCACATGCAGATTCCTATAAAGCACCTCATCTTCATCCAGGAATAATGTTCAGGGGGTATATGTCATGTTCCCAGAATTAGATCCTTATATTGCTTTATTTACCACTATTAGTGGTCTGCAGACCAGGCAATAAACCAAGCCATTCCCCTACTTGTACTGGCTGTAGAAAAAGAAAGTTGAGTAAAACCTGCTTTGGTCAAGAAATGAGGTAATGTTTGGAGGCATTTTTCACACTAGCAGAACTATTTAATAACTAATTGGTAAAAGGAATAATGAAGTACTAGTCTTCAAAATAATTGTTGCAACTTTAATAATCAGTATTCAGGGACAGGTTTTATTTTAACTTTGCATTTTTTTTCAAGAGTGGAAGAGGGAATGGAAGGAGAAGGGAGAAGTCTGGGTCTAAGTGTGCAGGAAAGCATTCAGCAGACACTTAAGAACACTCTGTAGTAGAACTACAAAGTTCTACTTAAAACCAGACATTTTTAGGTTTTTTTTAGGATGTAAAGAATACAATAACTAGCACGAAATAATTAGAACCTTTACCAATACCAGACCAAACTGAACAACAATGAGATAGCCAAAAAATACTGGACAACAATGAGATTGCCAAGAAATACCAGGCATCTGTAACTGGACTGTGCAGCTTACAAGCTATTTTTTCAGTTTTATAACAGAAAAATCTATATGCTTTCATTTTAATGAATCTTAATCTTTTATACTAATGTAACTTTTTTGAACTAATGAACAAATTTCTTATATGATTAAGAACCACATAAAAAAACCAAAGTATTTTAATTCAGCTATGTAAAATATGACAGTAAGCTGCTTTGTTTTTTTTTTAATCTAAAAGTGCATTTACACAAAAGTGCACTAACAGGCATTCTTTTCTTTTTGAAGTTTACAGTGGACAGTAATTATTTTATCTTTTTTCTAAAAAAACCTTTTTTCCTAAAAAACCAGAAAAGGCCTCGATTCTTACTGTGACGCTAACCTTCACTTACTGTTCACAGATGCAAAGATCTGTCCACTACAGAATCTCTTAAATGTTCTTCCTGTTATCTTGTTGGTCAAACAAATTAATTCAAAAATAAAGCAAAGTACTCAGTTCACTATCAATAAAGCACATCATAAAAAGTGGATGTTTACCTCCTACCTTGTGACTGTGCAAGCTTCACACAAAAGATCTGTTAAAAAGACCATCTATATAAAAATAATTTTTCAGTATAAAATAAGCTAAAGACAAGTAGCTATTTCTAGTGTAATCAGATGAAAGAAGTGGATTGTGATGGGATCCCAAAAAGTAGTCAACATTATTTGTTAGGTCAGAGCCATGTATGCCACAGAACTTTTATATAAATACAATTGTTGATTTAGGTCAATATGCAACAGTTCATCACAGAACCAAATTTAAAAGATTTATTAATCGCAGTATAGGATAAAGGCTCATTCCTACAAGCTTTCCATGATGCCTTCCTGACACATGATGAATAAAGTTCTGTATTCACAACGCCTTTTGAGAGTGGTAAAATGCTAATTCAGTAGTTATACACAGCATGACTGGAACTTGGATGCTGGTAAAACTCATAGCTTCAACTGCATTAGCTCTCCTCTCTGAAGTCTAGAAGGATGTTACACTTCATGTTGCTAAGTATCCACCTCAAGCTATCAGAATGGAATGGTTCACACGAAGCTTTCTCAAAGAATAGAAATACCCAAATTAGCCACAACCTGTTTATAAAATCTGTAATTGATCAACTACCACTACCCATTTAACCTACCTTTACTCGTTCTTAATGTAAACAGTTTCCATTTTCAAATCTTACAGCAGACCTCACTCCTGATAAAAAAATTTTTAAACTCTGTACTGATGCTATGTAACCATTACATAAGAGTACCTATACACTAACATAATTAGTTTTCAACTATTCAACCAATCAGCTTAACTGAGGCCTACATAATGAAATTATACAAAGGTTAAAGAAATAGCTTTAAAAAATGCAAACTAAGGAGCACTGCAAACTAAAGAAATCAATACATTCACTTAAATCTTAAGAAATAAAACAAATTTGCAGAATATGATTATACAAGTTTGATTCAACATCAGTAATGGTGTTCATTAAGAAAATGCTTCTTGAGGTTTAATAGCTGTGTTATAATAGAAATTCTGGTGTTTAGGAGTGAGTAATGTTTTTCCAGGCAGTTACTATGTACTATATTGTATGCTTTCTTAGCACTCAGAAATACAGCAGAAAGAAAGTTATGTTTTTTATAATTTGAAATATAAGTTAATTACAACAGGCATTTATTAAGACTTTATCCACAGTTATGGACCACTTATTCACACACTATGGACAACAAAAATATATTGATCAAATAAAATACCAATAGCAAACAATCAGAACTTCACAGACATTTCATCAATCCCAAATGATGGTAGAGATACAGTAAAACGTCAGTGGAATGAGCTTTGCCATAGAAAGTCACAAAGAAGGGGTGGTAGGTGTGTGTGTGGTCTCAAAACCTTCACTAATTTTTTGATTCATCATGCAAATTAAAAAAGAAAAGAACACAACAAGAAAACAACAAAAAAACCACAAGCCAAACCCCCAAAACCAAGACATTGAGGTAACACTGAATTTCTGATGTAAATCCAGCCTACACAGTACCCTGAATTCATTCTACTGTGCTTGCTAATCTGAGAGCTTCACTGACTCTTAGTTTTACAATACAACTGTATAGATCCCTAAAAATAACACAGAAAAAGTGAGGGGATCCAAATGTAAAAGTTTCATGCTTAATCACTCAATGGGAAAATAATGTGAACATTAACTACATGTTAGCAACCTGCTGTATATAGTTTAAAGATGCTTGAATCCTTCAGAAATTAAGCATACATCCTCTACATAAAACCAAACCCCACAGCCAATAAATTGCATAATGAAAAAACGCCCAGGTTTTGCATTTTCTATCTGTCAGTTCTAAAGTTACCTTATACTCATTTGTAGTAATCCGCTCTGGTTCTTTTCTCTTCTTTTTCCCTTTTTTATCCTTGGTGTGCTGAGTACCAGAGGCCTGATAAGACTGTAAATCCACTCGTGAATGAAACTGGTATCGGCCACTTTCCACATCACAGTAGTAATAAATTCCAGTTGCTGGATCATAATACAGTTGATTTTCCTTTATAAGAAACAAAGAACAATGTTATCATCACTTCAATAAATACATCGTTCAAAGAAACACCCAGTTAATAAAGAACCACATGCCAAGTTTAAAGACAATACCGTACTAAAGGACTGTGGTGGCTTGACCCTGGCTAGCTATCAGGTGCACATGCAACTGCTCTCTCAATCTCCCTTCCTCAACAGGACTGGGTGAGAAAATAAAATGAAATCTCGTAGGTCAAGATACAGGGATATCACCATCACCAAGCAAGACTTGGTGAAAAATTTAATTTATTTGCAGTTAAAAGAGCACTGGAAGATGAAGAACAAAGACAAAACACTTCTTCCCGCCCCCTTTTTCCCAAGCTCTGCTTCACTGCTTCATTCCCAACTCCTCCACTTCTCTTCCCCCTGCCCGAGCACTGCAGGGGGATGGGGAGTGGGGGGTTGCAGTCAGTTCATAACAGTTCCTCTCTGCTCCTTATTCCCCGTCACACTTTGCCCCTGCCCTGGCCATGGGTCTACAGGCCACTGCTCAAGCATGAACTCTCCATGAGCCACAGTTCCATATGGAGCTGCTCCGATGTGGGGTGCTCCACAGACTGAGTGTGAATACCTGCTCCAGTGCAGTCCTCTTCCATGGCCTACAGGGAATTGACTGCTCTGGTGCTTAAAGAACCTCCCCCACTCCTCCTTCTTTGACCTTGGCATTTGCAGGGTTGTTTTTCACCCTCCCTTGCCCTCATACACACTCCACTGTGCAGCATTTTGCTCTTTTTAAAACATGCTTTCACAGAGGCACCACCAGCTTCTCTGATGGGCTTAGCTGCATCCTGCAGTGGAACCAGCCATGTCCAGGCAGCCCCCTGCCCCACTACCAAAACCTTGCCAGTAAAGCCAATACAAAAACATTTCCTGTAATTCAAACGAGTTACTGAACAAGAAAATACATACTTTTGTGTAAATGTACCATAGACTGTAGTCCATAGCCCCAAACATTTATGTATCTAACTACACACATAAACTATGTCAAAAGCAATTTAAGCTTTTTCATTTTTAAAGACTTAAATGAATTTAGGTCCAGAAGCGTAACATCAAACTAGTTGGTAACAGTACTCAAGTAAAAGTAGAAGTATTTAGTGCATTTTCTCCCAACACACTTTTCACTGACTTAGTTCAGCAATCTGTCTTTTTCTAAAGAAGTCATCTTTTAGCATGTTTAATTTTGAAAGTTACAGAGAAGCTTTACAGTATAAAATTTCTACAATGCTATGAAAGTTAAAGATCTAGGAGACATCAAAAAGAACTGAATGAAAACCTAAATTAGTATCTTAGCCTGATATCTTTAATTTGACTGAAATAACTCAACAACTAATTATCAAACTTCTACTACTACTAGTCTTCAGTAACATGTTTTTCAATTCCTAACGTCAAACTGGGTCTTACTTCTTTGCTCACATCAACTTTTAGTACTAAAACTTTTGCAATAGAGAAAAAATGGCAAGGGTTTTGAAAATGATCCTTACCGAATTATAGTAGAAGCCAGTGCTATGGTCATAATACAATCCTGTACTTTCATCATAAATAAATCCTGTTTGTGAAACAGCAGCTTCTGCAGCAGCTCTCAAGCTGTCCGCCAAAGAACCCTCTGGTACAGAAGTATCTTCTGCTTCCTGATACCAGAAAGACAGACATTAAATTTTCTTCTAAAAAGCACCTCCTTGGTTCTTTAGCATTTTACAATGCCCTGTTTTAAATAAAACAAATTAGTGCTCTATGGACTTGGATTGTTTCAAGAACTGTTAAACACGGTGGCAAAAATCTATGTGTAGTTTACTGATAAACTCCTGCTTTCAGGGGGACCAAGACTTCATGCTGTACCTTTCGTTTTCCCCAACCTTTACTCAAAAGTGGTTCATGTCAAAAATATACACAGTTACTATCTTTTCGTACATTCCTAAAATAGATTTCTGCTCTCTTTTACATTTCGGTTGCTAGATACTAAGGCACAAAAATCAGTTAAGTGAGTGAGATGAAGTAAGTGAACTAAGAGAAGGCTGGATAGCAAGGGGGAAAAAAACGCACACTAAATAAACAAATAGAGCCCTCTAACAACTTTCTGCTCCTTCTATGTTATCTCCTTATATGAATGGAGGGGAAAAAAAAAAGTATACTTTAAGAAAGTCAGCATGGCCATATTGAACATATTCTGCTGATAAAAAAATGCCATGCTTCCAGGCCATGTAGGACATATGTTTTAGAAGGTGCATTTTTTTTTTTTTAAACAAATCTATGAGTATGTTACACTTGGAACATACTGCAAAAAGAACTAGTTTCAAAGCACAAGGATCTTTGTCTGCTCCCATCAGCATTACACATTACAAAAAGTCATTTCATACAGTAACATCAAGACCAAAAGCACACTTTTTAAATGAAATCAAGTATTAACAGAGTGTAGACTTCAAAATTGGTAAAACCCCATACAGCTGTATAACCTGTGAATTCTGGATGAAATTTTCCTCTTGTCCATCTTCAGCAACTTTGGTGCTATCCGTCCTTAAGGGAATATCAGCACCTGTCTGCGATTCCTCTGTGGAATTATGCTCAGTGCCTTCAGTCCCATGATTGTGCTGCACTGGCAGTTCAGATGCACAATCCTGAGTATCAGTGTGATTGTAGTAATTTTCATAGTAGTAATAATCTGTAGGGGGGGAAAAAAATTTGAAGTTGCATAAATTAGAAAAGCAGTATTTTACACAATGCAATTTAAGTATCCTAAATCTTAAACTGGAAATTTATTTGTAAGTAGTCTAATGAGAACCAATTATTAGGTAGTGCCTCCACTTTGAACTTATTCTACTGTTACTGAACAAATTATGTCTTGTTTTAATGTACTTTAAACATTGGCAAAACATTTATGTGCATACTGCATGAGATTAATATGTAACGTATTACAATTGCATGAATGCTGCTATAGTTCATGCTACATTTTATCCTGTTCTAAAAGGAATGGCTTGAATAAATAGGAGATAGTCCAAAAAACAATGTCACAGGTTACTGATTTTAATGCAGCTAAGGATACAGACTGTAAATGTACTTCATATTAAAAAAAAAATTCAAAATAAGATACTGTTCTAGATGGCTATGCAATCATCACCCCCTCTACCTGCTTGTGACCACACAGCATAGTCCTCTGTCTGCACTTCTATGCTAGATGTATCTTTCTCCTTCCTATTATGGACTTCCTTAGCGAGCTCTTCAACCTGAAAGAAAAACAGCATGCTACAGAACACAACGCTGCCTTTTAGGCATCTATGTCAGAAAAAAGTATCAGCTTATTTCACGTTCTATAATTCAAACAGAACATAACAGCGTCATAGGTGTTTCAACTGATTTGTTTTGCACGTGACTGTCTTCTACTTGCATGGTTGGCATAAGGAAAAACCCAATTTCTGCTCATGAAGGGTATAATAACAAAGGCAAGCACTTGGGAGGAAAACAAACTTGGTGAAGGTTATTTTTAAGATGTCCACCCTGAAAAGTTGAATTTCAACCAATAACCACTGTTCTGTGGCATTTACAAAGCTTCCCTATTTCACCATAAGCATCCGTG